AAAGTATGTGCAGAGATGGCTGTACTGCACTGCACAAAGAAGCCAGTGCCATTGAGGAAAGGGCAGAGCCACCCCACCTTGCTATTCCTAGGCCCATCTAGCCAGCCCCAAGTTGCCCCCTTCACCTGGCCATCTGCTTCTTGGAGGGGAACAACAGCTCAGCTAATGCTGAAAAGCCCAGTGCCACTAAGGAGGTAGAGGAGGCAGAGGAAAATGCCCACAGGTGGCCTTGGGTGTGCAACAGTGTGCTAGCTCTCCACCCTCTAGAGAAAGGCCTGGCCTGCAGTGTCAACATCCCTGTGCTGGGTTTCCAGTGCCAGGTCTCAAGGTGGGGTGCTGCAGGGTAGCTAGGAACTTGCTCTGCATTCTGAGCTCTTCTCCAGAGAACTATTTCGGAAGGGAAAAAGTCATAGGAAGCCTTACCACATTGTCCAACCCAGATATTAAGAAAAAAAGACCCAAAAAGTTAGTACTATTTTATAATTTAAAAAGTACAAATGATAGGGCCAGCAAGATAGCTCAGCAGGTTAAAGCACCTGCTTAGGCAGAAGCAGGGACCAGGATTCAATCCCCAGTGTGCCTGCTGGGCCAGCCCCTGGGGCATACTGAGTCTATGATTGAGACAGTGTGGTGATGGGTGCCCATAATCCTAGTGCTTGGGAGGCTGAAAACAGGAGGATCACTATGAGTCCAATCTGTGTAGTGAGACCCTACAGACCCTGTACTAAACATATATTTTTTTTAAAAAAGGATGGCTTTTTGTCTTCTCAATTTATTCAGAGCCCAGAGGCAGAAGAGTCTCTGAATGCTACCCCAAAGTCCAGCAAGCACCATCACGAAAGAACAGAGAGGCAAGACTTCCTCTGGCTTGAAATGCAAATGCATGGAGAAGTTGCTCTGGATGAAAGTGTGTTCTCTAAGCAACAGAAAGAAAGCAAAAGTTCAGAGTACACTGGGCCAGGCAAAGGAGCAGCATCAGCAGAATCAAGGAGTAAAACTTACTAAACACCTGGAATTGATTACATAACTAAAATCTGCAGGATAACATTTCAGTTCAGGAAGAGATTTCGTTCCATTGAGCTAGAGTATGAGTGAAACAGGAAAAAAATAAATAAATATAAAAAGGAAAGTTGGTCTCCTCGGTGAAAGTGGCAAATTGAGAGTTGTATGCCAAGGAGGCAGCTCTAGGACAGGAGCAGAAACAGCGGAAAGCAAGGCTGCAGGAGCCCAGCAGGAGGCCTGGGCACTGAGCACAGATCAACACCAGGCACGCAGACAAGGGGCAGTGACTGAGCAGCCCAGGAGGCAGAATGGACAGAGGTTGCTAAGGTATGGGATGTCTGGCCAAAGAGAACAGAGCTGGTTCGGTACATGGTTAGTTTCTTCCATCCATTGCAAGATCAAAGATCAAGGAAAGTCAACACTCTTACCTACGTCTAGCATAATCACTCTGCAAACCTTCCAGATGTTACCTATTTTTCTTCTTCTTCTTTTTTTTTTTTTTCAGAACCAGGGATTGAACTCAGGCCCTTATGCTTGCCAGGGAAGCGTTTATTCTACTGAGCCATCTCCCTGGCCCCCTATTTTTCTAACACAGAGGAAAAGCAGATTTAACAGAAACATTTATTTTTTCAAATAAATAACCATGGTCAAAATATCTTGTGTCAATCAATGCAAATATATTTTACTACTACAAATCAAATGAGAAAAATCAAATGAATTCCCAGGATAAAAATGACGCTGTGTGGAGGACGTAACAGAACAGGGCCCGTCCACCTAGCCTAAATCCCAGGGAGCAGAAGCCAGATGGAAATGTGCCGCCCTCTAGTGATGCCAACTCCTCACACCTCACACGGAGCCTTCTCAGCAGCCAGTAGGGAAAACTCTCATTACCAGAAAGCTAATGCAAGTCTTCCTTTACTTGTGATGGACTATAATAAGAGAAATGGAACAAATAACTACTGAGTAAGCCAGTAGTAGTTTTGGTGCACAGAGCTTAGAAATATATCTAATACTCAGAATGGTTCAGGAAATGCTGGCAAAGGACTGGGTAACAAAATTAATTACAAAATATGGGATGTTTACATTTTATGGAAGGAAGTTATTCCTTAAAACCTAGCTCATTAAAAAAAAAAAAAAAGTTTCTAAAGACAGGGTCTCGCTTTGTAGTAGCCCAAGCCGGCCCTGAATTCACTGTGTAGCCCATGCTGGTCTCTAACTCACAGTGCTCCTCCTGCCTCAGCCTACCCTGTGCTAGTAGGCCAGGCATGTGCCACCATGGCTACTTCAATACTTGGTTGAAATTCAATCCTGAGCCTCTTAAAGCATTAGTTAGGCTCCCTTGACTTAGGACTACTAGCTATTAGCTAGCTGCCTCTCAGAAACATAAATGTATAAAATGAATTTGGGTTTAGGGAATGAGAAAACAACAGAATTTTAAGTCACTTTGATTAATATCAAGTAACAGATACAATTGAGCTACTCTCTTACTGTCACCTTGGCCAGAGTCAGCTCTTTCAATCCAAAAGTCCAAACATGGAAACCTGCAACGCCCGAATAATCATAAGGAAAAAATAGAACTGCTTTGTCACTGGGAAGCTCCAGGCAGCTGGGGGCCAAGGCACTGCGAGGCTGCAGGGAAAGCAAGTAGCTGGTGGCCGAGGACAAGCAGGTAAGTAAGAATGGGGCAGGGGCATGCATTCACTCTACTCCTGGACTAACTAAACATCTAGGCTGCACACGGGTCCTATTCTAAAGCCCCTATTAGCATTCCAAATTCCTCAGAAACAATCTGAAGACCCCAGAAAGGAAGCCCTCAGAACAGAAGTGTTCTTATCCAGAAGCAATGGGAACCCAAGTAGAGGCTCTGGGGAAGCAGCCAATCAACCTTCACATCCTGAAAATCCCGACACAGATGCTGTCAATTTCTGAGAGGCCACAAAATAAAAAAACTCTGGGCATACGCAACAGAACCCCAGACTCACATCCCCAAACTAAGGAAGCAAGAGCTACTTGTGTTCCTCAACACAAGGCTGAAGAGACTGCAAGCAGAGATGGGCACTGCTGAGGCAAAGCGCTCCTAGAGGAAGATGTGAGAAACCTCAGACCTTCTTCTTTCTCCCTCCTCGCATTTCCAGTTTTTTTTCTTTTTCTCTGTGCCTTTTCCTGTCACTTTTCTATACCCTGGTTTCTCTTCAGATCATACACATCTTTCGCTTTTTACTTTCCTATCTTTTCCACTATGCTATTCACATTTTTTTTTTTTTTTTTTTTTTTTTTTTTGCGGAACCAGGGATTGAACTCAGACCCTTGTGCTTGCCAGGGAAGCGCTTATTCCACTGAGCCATCTCCCCATCTCCCCGGCCTGCTATTCACATTTCTTTTAAAAATTTTCTCTGTTTTTGGGCCAGGGAGACAGCTCAGTAGAGTAAGCGCTTGCCTGGCATGTGCAGGGTCCTGAGTTCAATCCCTGGTACGCAAAAAAAAAAAGTCTCTGCTTTTTATTCTAATGAAAATTACAAAGGAAATTATAGAAAAATAGAGCTTTTAATTTTTATTTTTATTTTTTTTTTTTTTTTGAGACAAAGTTTTGCCATGTAGCCCAGGCTGCCCTTGAACACTACATATGCTGGGTGCTGGGATTGCCAGAAATTATATTTTTTGATATATTACCAACCTCTTTTCCCAGTCTGAGATCTCCTAAACATATCAAAGCACTATATCTATGCTAATATAAGAAATCATTAAAAATACTTGTTACATAAATACTATTTGGTGACAACAATATGAAAAAGTAAAGATCCAAGTTAATGGACAGTATAGTGAGTGCAATGGCACACTCAGGAGGCCAAGGCAGGAGAATCGCCACAAGCTCAGAGCCAGCCTGAACTACATGACAAGGCCTTATCTCCAAAAAAAAGAAGAAACTTATTTTGAGATAGGGTCTAAGGAAATTCACTAGGTTGGCCTCTAATCTGTGATCCTCTTGCCTGAGCCTCCCTGTATAACTAGATTATAGGCCAAAGCCACTGTGTACTCAGTTAGAGTTTATTTTTTTATTAAAAAATATGATTTTTGTCTTATTTCCCTTTTTAGGGACATTTACAGAAGTTGAAGAACAATTTTAATTGTTCCTTCCTTTTAATCTTTTGAAAGGGAAAGTAAAGAGAATTAAGATATGTTATGCACATGTACCAACTCTCCATGATGTATAATCATTACAAACTGAACCCTAAGGGCTGGGGAGATGGCTCAGTAGAATAAGCGCTTGCCTGGCAAGCGCAGGGCCCTGAATTCAATCCCCAGTACTGCAAAAAACAAACAAACAAACAAACAAAAAAACATATACTAACAAAAATATTTTTAAATATTTCATTGAAGAAGTTTCTCAAGATACTTTTCTCTTTAAAACAGGAAGCAAAAATAATGGCATAGGGCCAGTGAGATAGCTCAGTGACTAAGCACCTGCTTGGCAAGCACAGGGACCGGGGTTCAATCCCTGGCACCACATGCCATGCCCCCCCCCCGGGTATGCTAAACCTGCCACTGAGACCAGGTGTGGTGGTACATGCCTATAATCCCAGCAATGGGGACGCTGCAAACAGGAAGATCATTACAAGTCTGAGGGGCATAGTGAGACCCTGTACCAAAGACACGAAAAAAGTAATAATAATAATGGTATATAAGCCAGGTATGGTGGTACACACCTATAATCCCAATACTCAGAAGCCTGAGGCAGGAAGATCACTGTGAATCTGAAGCCAGCTTAGGCTACAGAGTGGGACCCTGTCTCAAAAAGCAGAGGGGGAAAAAAAAGGGGCAGCAGCAAGATATATATCATGTATAGCTACAAATTCCCTATAACAAATGTGACCATTATGTATATCTAAGGGTTGGGGGTGTAGTTCAGTGGTAGAGTGCTTGCCTAACATTATGTATATAAAAAATGTACTAATGAAGTTTTTTTAAACTGCAAAAATAAACAAATCAGCCCATCTTACCAGTATCATTGGCAAGGGAATCAGGGCCAGATCCCCCCAGGGTAGCTTCAAACTCCTCCTGGAGACGATATGCTCTCTGCAGCAGAGCTTCTAGTTTATGGATAAACTCGGTACTGATAATGTCCTACAAAGAGAAGAACACATAGAAGTATTAAAATTCTAAACAGAAACTGTTTATTTTTAAATAAAAGATGGGGAAAGAGAAGGAAATAAAAAAAACTACTATCAGGGACTGGGAAGATAGCTCAGTGGTCTACGTGCCTGCCTGGTAAGCATATGGATCTGGGTTTGATCCCTGGTACCACACGCCACGCCAGCCCTGCACTGTGCCAGCCACTGAAATGGCATAGTGGTGCATGCCTGAAATCCCAGTGCTGGGGAGGCTGAGACAGGAGAATCCCTACGAGTCTGAGCTGCGTAATGAGACTGTACCAAATAAATAAATAAATCTTAAAAAAAAAAACTACTGTCAGGCAGTAGGAAAAGTATCATAATGGAAATCATGAGATCTAGGATCTAGTTGTATCTTTGGCAAAATGATCTCAGGTCTGAGAGATTCAGTTTATCTGGAAATGAAGCAGCCAGACTAGCCCAGGGCTTCCTGGAGGAAGGTCCTGGGCCATCAGCGTCACTGTCATTGGGACACATTAGAAAAGCAGTTGTCTTGGGTCGCCACATCCTAATGAATTACACACCTTGCTGTGGGGTCGCTGAGCCTATTTCAGCAAGCCCTCCAGGTGATTACCAAATGTGTGGATTAGTGGTCCACCAAAATGATCAGTAAGGACTAGTCCAATTTTCCTCTATCTGACTTCTATGAATACAACACTTGAGCAAACGCACAAAACGGGTTTTTCAAAACTTCGTAAGGCTGAGCACAATGGTACACACCTGGAACCCCAGCTACTTGGGAGACCAGGCAGGGGGATAGCAAGCTCACGGCCAGCCTTGGCTGCAAGACCCCATATCTCCAAAACAGGGACTGGGTACTGAGGATGTAGTTTAGTGATCCTTGGGCTCAATCCCAAGCACTGAAAAGAACTTCCTAGAATACATACAGTAAGTTGGTGGGATGAATGATAACTAACTGAACAAAAAACACCCAGTGACTCCTTCACATAGCCCAGAGGGAGATAAAAAGGTCCTGTCAAATGCCAGAGATGAAGGACACTCCATTAACACTGAAGATGGCGCCACTCTTCCAATAAGAGCCAATCTCCAGAAACCCCCTTACATCCACACTCTCCTCTGCGATGGCATCTCCTGCACCCAGTTTAATGGAGCCGCAGGCATCCTCCTCAGCCTGTCTGTTGCGGAAGGTTAGTGCTTGCTCCCACCGACGCAGCGCCTCTTCAAACAATTCCATACCTAGAGAGTAAGAACAAATCACAAATAAGGAAAATCAAGGCCAAAGTAAAATTATTTGGAGTCCGGAATGCTTTCATATAGTATCAGTAACAGCATAGTCTTCCTGTAATTTTGGCACCAATTTTTTTTTTCTTTTTGAGATAGGGTCTTGCTATGTGATTCAGGCTGGCCTTCAGCTCACTTTATAGTCCAGGCTGGTCTCAAACTCCCAAGGATCCTCCTGCCTCAGTCTCCTGAGTGCTGGGACCAAATCGTAATTTTATACTCCTTATTTCACAGTAGATCTTAATTTCCCAAAATGTTCTGGGCCTACGGTTCTAGTCCACCAAGACTCAAGACAGAAAATAGTCAATGTTTTCGTTCTTATTTTTAAAAAATAACTCAAATGTGGCCAGTTGTGGTGGTGCATGTCTATAATCCCAGCACTCAAGAGGCTAAGGCAGGAAGACTGAGTTCAAGGCCAACCTCAGCTACACAGTGAGTTCAGGATCATCCAAAACTACTTAATGAAACCAAGTCTCAAAAAACAAACCAGAACAAAAGAAACACAAAAAACCTTCAAGGGGCCAGGGAGATGGCTCAGTAGAATAAGGGCTTGCTTGGCAAGTGCAAGGGCCTGAGTTCAATCCCCTGTTTCGCAAAAAAAAAAAAAAAAAAACCTATGATACTATGAATTTTTCTAGAACATTATTAACATCTAAAGTTCAATGTTAATGGTTAATTTTTAGAGTTATATAACTATATTTCAAAATGTCCTTCTAAATAGAAAAAAACACAACTTCTATCAGGTTTGTAAATTGTCAGAAGAAAGTAGTAAACCTGAAACAGTAGCATAAAATTCCAAAATGAACTGTTTATCACCAGGTGTGGTGTCGCATGCCTATAATCCCTGCAATCAGGAGGCTGAGGCGGGACTGAGACAGGGTGAGTTTGAGGCCAGACAGGGCTACATAGTGAATGAGTTTAAAGCCTGCTGAAGCTACATAGTAAGACCCAGGCTCAAAAAAAAAAAAGGAAAAAAAAAAACCTTTATCATATTTTTCCCATAAATGGTATCCTAAAGCACAATTATCTCATTTTGCTGATTTAGATGGATAAATTGGTTGTCAGAATTAAAATCTGCAGCCTGGCATGGTGGCGCACACCTGCAATCCCAGCACTGGGGAGGCTGAGGCAGGAGGACCGTTATGAATTCAAAATGAAGAAAAGAATCCAGACAAGATAGTCTCAAAATGTTTTTAGGACATAGTATGTAAAGACTATGTGTTCTCTAAAGTCACTACTTCAGTTATCTGTAGAATCTAGACCCCTAAACAAATCTTCAAATGCAAGATAGTCTTTTTTTTTTTTTTTAATTTT